CACAATTAACATGTTCTGAAAATAGACCCAGGATCTAAGTAACTCTCCCTGAGCTCCTTGTGTCAGCCGCCGTGATGGACTTGGACTATCATATTGTCATTGTGGTGACAGAGATTCATGTTTTACACAACAAAAATGTTATATCAATGGAAGAATGACTTTATTTCTTCCAAAAGAACAGGCAAATATACTGTATACATGTGGACTAAATCAAACTGATGGTTTAATGTATGATTTTGGGAAGGAAAATGAATTGGATGATATCATAGTTGAATTTGCTTTAGTTCTACTTATTGCTTTTCATTTTTAATATTTTTGTTTTAAGAATACATCAAATATATAAGAAATAAAGACTACCCATTCTTAAGTAAAAAGTACTAAACCAGGTCTAGTCCAGGTTTCCAATTGTGGAACAAAAATGTGTGTGCTATTGTCTGGAACCGTGCAGCTGGTGACAAAGAACAGCATCATCTGTTTTTGAAAGGAATTTCTTAAAACTGAAAGAATTCAACTCAGCAGATAAAAAAAAGACCTAATGCGTGTGCTGGTGCTTTATTTTGCTATTTGGTCTGCAAATCAATTCCTATTCTTAATTCCAAACGGACTCCAAATTTGTCCCTATAACTTCTAACCTCTGTGAGCTTCCACCTGTTTTGTTTTGACAGTGTACTGCACAGACAGTGTGTAAATATCTCATTTTGACCAACAAAAGTGACTTCTGTGACTTTTGAACATCATTGTAAAGCGATGTTTGAGAAGGATGTAATGTGTACAGTTTGTGAACATCAATAAAAGTGACAGAAAGCTCACATTTTCTCCCTCCTTGTTCTTTTCCCTTCATTTATACTAAAAAAAGTTGTGATTATTCTTTGTTCTTGAACTTCCACTGTTCTGGTAGAAGGGCATCAGTGTGTGCTGTGTGACTTGGATCTGGCAATAATGAAGGCTCCTCAAATTTCAGTACAGCCATTATCTGATATGATATAATATGATAAAATATGATATGATATAATATGATATAGATTCAGTCAAACTCTTACATTTCTGCTGTTAAACAGTGAAACTATTATCTGAAGCCACTTCATATTGGAACTCATTGCACGGGGAGATTGACTGGAGCAGGGCTTGGCTGGTTGGCGAAAGGCTCTGCATTTATAACACAATTAAAAAAGTTAATTTCAATATTCTCCATAATATTTACCCAGCCAAAAAAACGCTAGATTCAAATTAAAGATTGATTACAACTGTGACTTCTGTCGCACTGAAATAGAAACAATCCCTCACCTGTTTTACCACTGTACATACAGTAAGAACATCTGGAACCATATACAACAACTCATCCAAATCAAAACCAAACACTCGATCAGCCTCCAGGAAAGTGACGTCCTGTTCTTTTTCACCAGCCCCTCCTTCCCCAAAGATCTTGAACTCCTCATTCAGACTCTCATTATGCTGGCAAAATATCACATAGACAAAACCAAATGGGCTCAAAATAAACCAAATGTTCATCAATATAATATCGAAATCCAACAAAACTTTCAAACGATAAAACAGGTCCAAAACAAAAAAGCTGTTAAAACTTACAATATCTATAAAAAATATAGTATAGCTTTATTTAATTTATGACATTATTTTGAATTGATTATATTTCTTTCTTTGTTGTTGTTTAGTTTTGGTTTCATTCCTTCTGCTCCCCTGTATGATCATTTGCAAACCACTCCCATACTGTAGAAAAAAATAAATAACAAGACGTATGTATGTATGTTTATGTATGCCTTATAATACGTAACAGTAGCACTAGGCCACAGTATGCAGAAGTAAAAGTAGTAATATTTGTACTAGGAATTGAAATTGGAATAGTACACAGCAGCAGTAGTAGTAGTAGGTTATAATAGCAGTAGTGATAGAAGTAATAGTGGTTAGTAGATATAGTAGAGGGAGCTGTTGGAGTAGTAGTAGTAGTAGGAGTGATAGAATGAATACTAGTAGTATTAGGCTATACTAGTAGTACGTAGTAGTAGTAGTAGTAGTCCTAGTAGTAGTAGGTGCAGTAGTCAGAGTAGTCTGAGAGTAGTAGGTTATAGTACGTATTAGTACTGTCTTATTTAGAAATATGTGTTTTTTCAGACCTGGTTCAGACCTGGTTCAGACCTGATTTAGACTTTGTTCAGACCTGGTACAGACCTGGTTTCAGACCTGGTTTCAGACCTGGTTTCAGACCTGGTTTAGACCTGATTCAGACCTGGTTCAGACCTGGTTTAGACCTGGTTTCAGACCTGATTCAGACCTGGTTCAGACCTGGTTTAGACCTGGTTTAGACCTGATTTAGACTTGGTTCAATCCTGGTTCAGACCTGATTCAGACCTGGTTTAGACCTGGTTCAGACCTGGTTTAGACCTGGTTTCAGACCTGGTTTAGACCTGGTTCAGACCTGGTTTAGACCTGGTTCAGACCTGGTTTCAGACCTGGTTTAGACCTGGTTCAGACCTGGTTTAGACCTGGTTCAGACCTGGTTCAGACCTGGTTTAGACCTGGTTCAGACCTGGTTTAGACCTGGTTCAGACCTGGTTCAGACCTGGTTTAGACCTGGTTCAGACCTGGTTTAGACCTGGTTTCAGACCTGGTTTAGACCTGGTTCAGACCTGGTTCAGACCTGGTTCAGACCTGTTTAGACCTGGTTCAGACCTGGTTCAGACCTGATTCAGACCTGGTTTAGACCTGGTTTAGACCTGGTTCAGACCTGGTTTAGACCTGGTTTAGACCTGGTTCAGACCTGGTTTAGACCTGGTTCAGACCTGGTTCAGACCTGGTTCAGACCTGGTTTAGACCTGGTTTAGACCTGGTTTCAGACCTGGTTCAGACCTGGTTTAGACCTGGTTTAGACCTGGTTTCAGACCTGGTTTAGACCTGGTTTCAGACCTGGTTCAGACCTGGTTTTAGACCTGGTTCAGACCTGGTTTAGACCTGGTTCAGACCTGGTTTCAGACCTGGTTCAGACCTGGTTCAGACCTGGTTTAGACCTGGTTTAGACCTGGTTCAGACCTGGTTCAGACCTGGTTCAGACCTGGTTCAGACCTGGTTTAGACCTGGTTTAGACCTGGTTTAGACCTGGTTCAGACCTGGTTCAGACCTGGTTTAGACCTGGTTTAGACCTGGTTCAGACCTGGTTTAGACCTGGTTCAGACCTGGTTTAGACCTGGTTCAGACCTGGTTCAGACCTGGTTCAGACCTGGTTCAGACCTGGTTTAGACCTGGTTCAGACCTGGTTCAGACCGGTCTCTTGCTTCAGACCTTGACCTTTAGCTCTCTTCTTTCAAAACTCGGTCTTTTGTCTTTTCTTTTCTCAGACAAAAGTTTCACAAACACTTCCTGGAGTTTGGACGAGTTCTTCCTTTAAACTGTGTGACGGGCGATGGTGCAATTCCCGTAGTAAAGATATGAGTGTTTTTCCAATACAACAATACAGTCTTTCAGATAATGATTACAATCAAAATACGATTACGAATATTTTTTATGGTCCATTAATCCCTATTAGCAGATTAATGGTTTCAGCCTTAATAGAGAAGAGATTAGTCAGTACCTGCATTAAAATGTATTTGCTCCAACCAGAGTACTGCATCTAACAGAGTACTGCATCTAACAGAGTACTGCATCTAACCGAGTACTGCATCTAACAGAGTACTGCATCTAACCGAGTACTGCATCTAACCGAGTTACTGCATCTAACAGAGTACTGCATCTAACAGAGTACTGTACTGCATCTAACAGAGTATTGCATCTAACCGAGTACTGCATCTAACGAGTACTGCATCTAACCGAGTACTGCATCTAACAGAGTACTGCATCTAACAGAGTACTGCATCTAACCGAGTACTGCATCTAACAGAGTACTGCATCTAACAGAGTACTGCATCTAACAGAGTACTGCATCTAACCGAGTACTGCATCTAACCGAGTACTGCATCTAACAGAGTACTGCATCTAACCGAGTACTGCATCTAACAGAGTACTGCATCTAACCGAGTACTGCATCTAACCGAGTACTGCATCTAACCGAGTACTGCATCTAACCGAGTACTGCATCTAACAGAGTACTGCATCCAGCCGGAGTACTGCATCTAACAGAGTACTGCATCTAACCGAGTACTGCATCTAACAGAGTACTGAATCTAACAGACTACTGCATCTAACAGAGTACTGCATCTAACAGAGTACTGCATTTAACAGAGTACTGCATCTAACCAAGTACTGTGTCTAACAGAGTACTGCATCTAACCGAGTACTGCATTTAACAGAGTACTGCATCTAACCGAGTACTGCATCTAACAGAGTACTGAATCTAACAGACTACTGCATCTAACAGAGTACTGCATCTAACCGAGTACTGCATCTAACCGAGTACTGTGTCTAACAGAGTACTGCATTTAACAGAGTACTGCATCTAACAGAGTACTGCATCTAACCGAGTACTGCATCTAACAGAGTACTGCATCTAACCAAGTACTGTGTCTAACAGAGTACTGCATCTAACCGAGTACTGCATTTAACAGAGTACTGCATCTAACAGAGTACTGCATCCAGCCGGAGTACTGCATCTAACAGAGTACTGCATCTAACAGAGTACTGCATCTAACAGAGTACTGCATTTAACAGAGTACTACATCTAACCAAGTACTGTGTCTAACAGAGTACTGCATCTAACCGAGTACTGCATTTAACAGAGTACTGCATTCAACCAGAGTACTGCATTTAACAGAGTACTGCATCTAACAGAGTACTGCATCTAACCGAGTACTGCATCTAACAGAGTACTACATCTAACCAAGTACTGTGTCTAACAGAGTACTGCATCTAACAGAGTACTGCATCTAACCGAGTACTGCATTCAACCAGAGTACTGTACTATCACAATTTTTGACTAATCTGATCCCTGCCAACAGTAAAGAGGAGCATAATTGTCCTTTGTTTAATCAAAATACACAAAACCGTGTTTGGTAATAACTAACAGGAGAATGCACAATGTTACCTGCTCTTTTCACAGTTTTATTTATACCAAACATCCCGACTCGGGTGTGTCCCTGTTTACAATTGTGAAATTCTGATCACTCTACTTGTACAGGTTTGTACGGTTAACCACTGTACAAATAAGGCTCAGGAGAGATCACAATATTAGTCAAACAAGCATGGATGATGATGTAAAACCTTTTCAGACAGGTTTTTGATGAGGGCACAACTTTTTTAACATGATAGACAGCTCCAAAATGTTGTGGATTTTGTGTAATAATAATAATAATAACACAGAGTGATTGGACAGCTCCAGTGGTGGTGCGTTCAGGGACACTGCGTAGTTACAGTCGGCATCCGTTCGTGGACAGCTCGTTGGCCATAGCGTTCAGACTCTCACACTTCTGCCTGAGGGAGGCGCTGCACTCCTCCTCAGACGGCCATCGCTCCACCCACGTGTTCTTACCCAGCAGATACACGTACCTGCCACAAGAGGGAGTAAAGTGTAGTCAACACAAATACAGGAGACCACCAAACTACCACCAGGGGGAGTACATTCAGCATACATTAACATAGTCTTTGAATAATGAACAAACCATTAAACAAATAAAATAATAAACAGAATTCAAATTAAAAGTAGCATGTGTAGACTTTTCACAAACCCTGCATATTTAGGCTCTAAATGTTCTAAATAGAGTTCTTCTCTCAAACAGAAAACACAAAAATCTATTTTGTGATGTCATGTGGTAAAACGGGAAGTGCTCCACTGTGTTTTTAAACTCCATACCCCTTCACTCGAATCATTTGGATGATTTCAGCCTTGGAATTTCCAACCTCTACTGAACTTAGGGTAAAAGTTAGCTGTTAACTTGAAAACTATCGCTTCATGACACCACAAGAATTACTCAAACATGTGTGAATGAAAGAAAACACAACTCCAGCTATGTTTTTGATGAGATAACATCATTATAACGTGGCTCACAAGAGTCAATATTTGTTTCTACTGTATATCAGTTGAAAAATAAACCACAATTTTTGTAGTACCACCTAGACTCCCACAGGTTTAACAGGTTGCACTGAGCTGTTGTTTCATTTGAGAGATAAACACTGGGGTGTAGTAGTGAGTGTTACGTGTTGGTGGCGCTGTCGATGTTCCACTGGTCGTCTTTGGGGCCCATGATGAGGTACTCCTGGTTTGGGACCAGCTTGAGTCTGTCTCTGCAGGCTCCATGAGACAGGAAGGTCCGGCTCTGTCCGGCCAGAATCCCCGCCTCAGCTCCTAAAGGGACACAGTTGAAGTGAACGCGCCTCACTCAGGCGTAAAGTGCAGACGAGAGCTTTCCATGGCTTTATCATTCTCACTGTACCTGAGCTAAATATGGATTATTGTTTTACATCAGTCAAGTGGCAGTTTGTGGGAGGAAAAATGAAAAAGTAAAGTACCAAAAAAAAAAACAACAACCATGGAGTAGCACTGAGTTGTAAAACAGAATACTTCTGTATTTGTCTTCAACATGGAAAACTCCATCCAAAATATGGAATGGACTATGTACTACTTTAAAAAGTTATGAACAGAGGGGCGGAGACTCGTACCCAGTTTGATGACTTGTGTGATCTGCAGCTCGTATTTGTCATAGTAACTCTCGGTCGCACTCAGCACTTTCACTTTGAACACTGAAACAAGAAAAACAACAGTCTGAGTGAGAGAGTAGAGGCAGGCTTTATACAGTCCAAGTATAGTCCAAGTACAGTCCAAGTACAGTCCAAGTACAGTCCAAGTATAGTCCAAGTACAGTCCAAGTACAGTCCAAGTATAGTCCAAGTATAGTCCAAGTATAGTCCAAGTACAGTCCAAGTGTAGTCCAAGTACAGTCCAAGTATAGTCCAAGTACAGTCCAAGTCCAAGTAGTCCAAGTACAGTCCAAGTATAGTCCAAGTATAGTCCAAGTAGAAAGAAGGCCAATTTTTGGGTTACGTTTCTGTCAAGTCTTGTTTTAGACCTGGTTTAATCCTAGTTTAGACCTTGAGTAGTCCTGGTTTAGTTGCATAGACCCATTCTAGTTTAGCCCACACAAATCCTTGCAGTATCTTTAATGCACTTTTAAAGACTTGGAAAATCACTTCTTAATGAATGAAGTGCTCTTCTTGTCTTCAGTTCAGTGACTCCATTTTCACAATTAACATGTTCTGAAAATAGACCCAGGATCTAAGTAACTCTCCCTGAGCTCCTTGTGTCAGCCGCCGTGATGGACTTGGACTATCATATTGTCATTGTGGTGACAGAGATTCATGTTTTACACAACAAAAATGTTATATCAATGGAAGAATGACTTTATTTCTTCCAAAAGAACAGGCAAATATACTGTATACATGTGGACTAAATCAAACTGATGGTTTAATGTATGATTTTGGGAAGGAAAATGAATTGGATGATATCATAGTTGAATTTGCTTTAGTTCTACTTATTGCTTTTCATTTTTAATATTTTTGTTTTAAGAATACATCAAATATATAAGAAATAAAGACTACCCATTCTTAAGTAAAAAGTACTAAACCAGGTCTAGTCCAGGTTTCCAATTGTGGAACAAAAATGTGTGTGCTATTGTCTGGAACCGTGCAGCTGGTGACAAAGAACAGCATCATCTGTTTTTGAAAGGAATTTCTTAAAACTGAAAGAATTCAACTCAGCAGATAAAAAAAAAAAGACCTAATGCGTGTGCTGGTGCTTTATTTTGCTATTTGGTCTGCAAATCAATTCCTATTCTTAATTCCAAACGGACTCCAAATTTGTCCCTATAACTTCTAACCTCTGTGAGCTTCCACCTGTTTTGTTTTGACAGTGTACTGCACAGACAGTGTGTAAATATCTCATTTTGACCAACAAAAGTGACTTCTGTGACTTTTGAACATCATTGTAAAGCGATGTTTGAGAAGGATGTAATGTGTACAGTTTGTGAACATCAATAAAAGTGACAGAAAGCTCACATTTTCTCCCTCCTTGTTCTTTTCCCTTCATTTATACTAAAAAAAGTTGTGATTATTCTTTGTTCTTGAACTTCCACTGTTCTGGTAGAAGGGCATCAGTGTGTGCTGTGTGACTTGGATCTGGCAATAATGAAGGCTCCTCAAATTTCAGTACAGCCATTATCTGATATGATATAATATAATATAATGTAATTAATATAATATAATAATATAATATAATATAATATAATATAATATAATATAATATAGATTCAGTCAAACTCTTACATTTCTGCTGTTAAACAGTGAAACTATTATCTGAAGCATTATGCACTTTAATTTCAGACAAGCAACTTTTCATTTTGTGACATTTCAAATTGTCTTGGTCACAGTTTCAGTTCAGTTATTGTTTGTAATAACAAAAGGCACAGCACAGGCCAAATCACCACTAAATACTAAATACCAAAAGGAGAGTCTGAGGCATAATACACATAAAAGACTCAAATGAAACTTCTCTCACCTCAGATGAACATACAGCAGAAATCATGTCATGTTATTCACTCCCTTTGATATTTAGTACATCTTTTTCCTCAGAAGCAGCTGTATTTGTTTTGATGTGGACATGTCTCTTTTTGGCCTTGTTGTATCTCGTCAAACGTGTGTAGTTAGTGATATAAAAGTGGATTACTGTAAACTTGAATACAAGATTTTCTCCCTCGCAGAGTGCCCTCCACCTCGAGAATAGCCCCCAAACGGAACGTTTCATCACTCGACAGGGATAGCCCCACCCGGGGCTTGTTGCTGCGGGACACGACTACAGCCGGCCGGGGTGCGGCTCAGAGCAGGGATCAGTCGAGGAGGATTTTCCACCACTGCCCGCCTCGCCGTCACCAGCAAAATCGCCGGCAACCAAGAACGTTTGCAACGTGGAGGTGGACCCTTCCATCATCAGCAAAATCTTTGCGCGCTTTGACGCAACTGAAAACTTGATCAACACCAGAAGTGACTGCATCAAACTTACCAGCCTGGAGGAAAAGTTTGAAAAACTAACCACGGACTTGGCGGAGGTAACCACACGAGTGACACAACTAGAGCAGAAACCTGTAAAACAGACACAAAGACGCATGGACGAAATCGAGACATATACAAGAAGATGGAACCTGAGGCTGACAGGAGGACCCCAAACCGATCAGGAGGATGTGCGCGCCAAGGTGATCCAAATCTGCCAGGAGGTCGTTCCTGACACGAAAAACAAGCTGGTGGACAGTGTGGAGACGGTCCACCGATTGGGAAGAAGACGCGCGGCTGCGGAGGGCTCTGCACCTCGGCACATCATTGTGCAGTTTGTTTCTCGGGTTTGCCGGGACGCGGTGTGGAGGGAAGCTAAAACTTCACTCTATCTCAGACAACATGGCTTGTGCTTCAAGGAGGACATATCGAAAGGGGATCGAGAAAGACAGGAGAAACTGTGGCCCCAGATCCAGAGAGCGCGAGAGGCCGGAAAACGAGCCTTCTTCACGGGGGCCGAGCCTTCATCGAAGGAACAGGAGAGATCGCGCTCACGGAAGAACATACAGGAATGAAGGTCAGTTTGGACATGTTGACTATTTACGTTAAAGGACTCGAAATGTTAAGCTGTGAATAAAGGACCAAAAGTGGATTAAGAACATGACATTTTGATTTGGGCAACCTTAGCCCACTGTTTCCTTTAGAAAAAGAATTGACATTTATTGGTGCTGCAGGCGTCGTGAGCCTGCCTTTCTTTTTCATCCTAAGAGAGGATTTCTATTTTAGTTGTTTCTTTTTTTGTTTGTTTGTTTGTTTTTGTTTGTTTGTTTGTTCTTGTCCTATGTCTGTTTCGCTTCTGTCTATGAATGTCAGGGAGATTAGGAATGACTAGAAAAGGAAAGTTGTTGTGTTTTTTTTGTCAGGGGAAACAAGCAGATTTTTATTTTTTTACAAGAGACTCATGCCTTGGAGGCAGACAGATCCTTTTGGAAAAATCAATGGAGAAAAGATATGTGGTTTTCATTTGGCAGTAACAGATCGGCAGGGGTCGCTATATTAAAAGGGAACTTTAGGGGGCAGATACTTCAACATTTTGCAGATGAGGAGGGACGCTGGGTGATGTTAATTATTAATATCAATCAGGTACAATTAATTTAGATAAATGTTTATGCAGCTAACAATAAAACGGCCAATAACTTGATATTCTCAACTATTGAAACTAAAATAAATAATTGGTTAGTAAAATTTCCTTCAGCTAAAATCATTTGGGGGGGAGATTTTAATACTGTCATGGACGACAGGGTGGACAGATTTCCCCCTAAGGACCAAAAGTCAAATGAAGTCTATAACATGCAGAATACAGAATGAACTTAATTGACATTTGGAGACACAGAAACCCAGACACCAAAATGTATCTGTGGAGCAATAAAGACATGTCCTTACAGTCAAGATTAGACTTCTGCCTTGTCTCAGCAAGTACAATTGATAATGTGGAAACAACCCAAATTACACCTACTATATTTTCAGATCATAAAGCGATTATTATTATTGAAATAAATATATCATCCAAAAGACTAAGATATAATACAGATGACTGGAAATTCAATAACATTCTACTTACTAATGAGGATTTTCAAAAACAAATAGAGAAACTTATTGGAAAACACTGGAGAATCGCTGCTATGACAAACTGTTATGGGAAGGCTTATGAGATGTTGAAATTTGAAATAAGAAAATTGGCTGTTTTATTTAGTAAAAAAATGTCTAAAGCAAAAAAGGAAAGAGAATTGCAAATTGTTACTAAAATGATGGAACTGGTTCAAAAAGCAATCTTAACTGAGAACGAGCAAATAGAACTACAGTCCCTGACAAAAGTCTTGTCGCTTATCCATTTTGTAGAAACAAAAGCTTATAACCTGACTTTAAATTAATCGATTGGTTTTAGAAATGTCTCATATGAAAGCTAAAACCCTCCCAAATTATGCTTCAATATACTAAAATAAATTTGCTTCACTGAAGAAAGATTGATCATTTAATGAACACAGAAAGGTCAGATTTTGGCAAGACAAAAGTTTTGTCGCCTACAGAAAATTGAACAAATAATTTACTTCAAATACAAAAATATGTTGCATAACGTCAGTGAATGAAGTAGTGGTGCTGTGAGATCCAGATTTAATATCTTGTATGACTTCCATGAGCCTGAAGGACACATCCATGCGGTTCAACAATGATTCATACAATTTGTTGATGAAGTCATCAGGAATAGCAAAGAAAGCGTCTTACATGCCTCCCAGAGTTCATCAAGATTCTTTGGTTTTGTCTTCCATGCTTCCTCTTTCATTCTACCCCAGACATGCTCAATGATGTTCATGTCTGGTGACTGGGCTGGCCAGTCCTGGAGCACCTTGATCTTCTTCACCTTGAGAAACTCTGATGTAGAGATAGAAGTATGTGATGGAGCACCATCCTGCTGCAAAATTTGAGCCCTTTTATGGTTGGGAATGTAAGAGGAGCTAATACTTCTTGATATTTTAGGTTATTGATATTTGCCTTCCACCCTGCAAATGTCTCACACACCCCCAGACTGGATGGAACCCCAGACCAGGATTTTTCCACCACCAAACTTAACTGTTTTCTGGGTGAATCTTGGATCCATGCGGCTCCAGTAGGTCTCCTGCAATATTTGCGGTGGCTGTGATGTAATTCAACCTGAGGATTCATCTGAGAAATCCACCTTCTTGCCACTTTTCCAGTGTCCATCCTTTTAGCAGGCTGTGGGCCTTGGCAAATGCCACACGGTTTTTTAATTGCCTTTTGTTTAGTGCTGGTTTCTGTGCACTGATTTGACCATGGAGGCCATTTCCAGACAGAATTCTACAAACTGTTGTGGTTGACACAGGGACTTGAGGTGACCAGGCCTGGTGGAGTCTGCTGCAATGGAAAAGGCCTTGGATTTTCGAATCAACAAACGGTCCTCCCGAGCAGTTGTCTTGCGGGGTCTGCCGGACCTGGGCTTGTCAAAAACATCTCCAGTCATTTCAGATCTTTTTCTTATTCTTTGTACTTGACGCTGAGACACATTGAAGGTGTCACCACCTCAGCAGTGGATCTGGTCTTCAGCCTCTTGATAATTAACGCTTTGGTCTCAGGGTGGATCTTAGGCATGTTGTCAGAGGTCAAGTTGCAGTTGATGTGAA